AACCACAGGATATATTGTGTTTGTTATAGGAAAGGTAATTGAATCTTTAAGTACAGCAGCAAGGGGAAATCAGTTATTTATTTTCAGGAACATAATCAAGCCACATCCTAGTAGCACTATTTTATTCATTGATTGAAGCCCACAGTTTATGAGCTGACCTGATGTAGAAATAAAAATGCAGAAAAACACTCACTCAGGAACCAGGAAGTAATTAAGCCACTGGCCAACACGCTGTGAAGAACTACCCTGCACCCAGACTACAGGCAAGGCTGCAGGGAGTGCCAGGATGGGCAGGGATTGGTGGAGAATAGCTTGGACAGTGGCAACAGACTGCCCAGAAAAAGACGAGAGAGGGGAAATCCATGGTTGCCCCTCTACATAGTGTAGCCTTTAACACAATATAGCAGGTGCACAAGAAGAAGCCAGAGGTTCCTGTTCCTCTAAGGGGAGAGTGTAGTAGGCAAAGCTTTCTGCGTGGGGCAGGCAGCAGGGCAAAAGCCAGCTGCTAGAAAGCCAGCAGGCCAGACACAGCAACAGTAAGAGGTACCCCTGGGGGAGTACCTACCCTGGGGTTAGCTGCACTGCAGTAAGCAGCCAAGGGGCAGACCTCCAGGCACTGCAGTGGGTTTTGGGGCACACAAGCCCTGTGCCTGAGACCAGGTGGGCAGTCTTGACCCTGCATGCTGCAGAGAGAGGAGCTCCTGGGGGAGATGGCTGCCACCCAAGCTGGCAGCCACCCAAGCTGTCCCATAATGCTGGCAGGAGAGTGCTAGAGGGACTTATGGCTGGCAAGTTGGCAGTGACCCAGAGTGAGGTGAATTTTAGTTGTGAAGCAGTCTGCTTGTATTTATGCTGTGGTTAAGTTTGAGACCGGAGCCCAGATTATGGCTGTAGGGAAGGATGGAGTGCCTGGTAGGGCACTCCGGGACAGGCAGCTTAGCCTGGGGTCAGGGACCCAGAGGGCTGTGGGCTAGTGCGGATAAGCAAGGCCAAGACTGGAAGAGATAAGGCCAGTGAAAGCAGCCTGGCCTGGGGCCAGGGTCACAGAGGGCTGAGGACTGGTGCAGTGAAAGCAGCTCAGCCTGGGATCAGGGACCCTGAGGGCTGTGGATGCAACAGTAGCTGTGCTGGGGCCAGGGCCCAGAGGGCTGGAGGAGTTAGGCCAAGGCCAGGAGGGCTGAGACCATGGGAATGAGGCTAAAGCCAGGGAAAAGCTGAAACCAGATAAGCTTAGACCAAGCAGACTAACTGTAGGGGTGAATGGAGGCCACGAACATAGTCCATAAGGCAACTGGTGCCCCAAGTCACTGATAGGGCCAAGAGGGCCACAATTTAGTGCCCAATGGGCAAGACTGGGGCTAACTAGGCACAGCAAGGAGAAATTGAGGCACACACTGGGACCCTGGGGGCAGCCTCCTTACACACTACAAGACACACGGAGGGTACTTCAAGAAGCCGGAGTGGGGGCAGGTGTTTTTTGGCCACCTCTGGGGGCCGAGTCCTGCTACAAGCTGTCACTGACTGATGAAAAGACCCTACGGAAATTTGTGGGAAATTAGATAATTTCTCGGTACATGTTAGAGAACTAAACTACTATTGGTTTAATCATTGTTAGATTATCTGTAGGTGTTTTCCCGACTACTTCTGAGATCTTGCTGGAAGCGACAAAAGACAACAGCCATCCCTCACTGCCTTTTCACTGTGCGCGCTTGAAGACGCTCCTCTCGTCTCCACGATTCCCAAAAGCAAATCGCACAGAGACAAAGAATGATATATTTAATTAACAGTTTAATTATCTGAAAGCTCCCAAGTATGGCTGAACTTTGAAACACTACTTAATGTCCTGCATCTACTGCAACACTCTACACTACTTACTCTAATAGTCAGGCTGCAGACTCGTAGTTATCTGGAAGATAGCGAGTCGGAGGATGTCTTCTGAGGGGGACATTTTATCTGACCACAGCCCTCCAACAATTTAAGGTGGGAAGGCAGGAACTCTGGTTGAAGGAACCAGCAACACACCTGTAGGCTGGGGAACACCCTTCTTGTCAACACGGTGGCAGAAAGGGATCTCGGAGTCATTGTTGACTCCAGGATGGACATGAGCCACCAATGTGAGGAAGTGGTCAGTAAGGCTAACCGCACCTTATTGTGCATCTACAGATGCATCACAAGCAGGTCCAGGGAGGTGATCCTCCCCCTCTATGCACCACTGGTCAGGCCGCAGTTGGAGTACTGCATCCAGTTCTGGGTGCCACACTTCAAGAGGGATGTGGCCAACATTGAGAAGGTCCAGAGGAGGGCCAGTCGCATGGTCAAGGGGCAGCAGGGCAGGCCATACAAAGAGT